GCCTGGAAGTGCTTTTGTCAATGCAGAGTTATTAGGAAACATCTTTAGGAGAGCTCTGGTAAGAAAGGAAAGGATTTGGAGTAAAGTATTTGGGCTTAAGCTTTGGCTCTCCTATTTATTAACAACATGACTTGGAGAAGTTACCCCATTTTAGCCAACTGTAAAATGGGGATATTACTAATATTCATTTTATGGGGTTAAGGATAAAATAATTGTCAACCTTCAATATATAGTCATGTGTAAAAATTACTAGTATTGAAAATACACTAAACAGTTATGCTTCCTTAAAAGCTTGTTGTAAATAGAGATCTGTAATTCTTAGAAATATATTGTAAACAACAGGTAAAAAATAACTTTTATAATGTCCAGAAATCTAAATTTGCAAAAAATTACAATTCATTAGTACTGATGTTAGATATACTGAACAAGGAGAATGTACATACTGTTTTCACTGTATAAAACAAAGCTTTTATATGATAAATTTACTATTATAATAGAATGAAAAATGTGTTTATTTTGCATGAGAATGTAGGAAGTGGCTAGAAACTAAAAAAAAAAGATTGGTATGGCAAGCCTAGTAATTTGTAGAAAAATATGGTATTTTTTGGAAATAATAATAATTAAACATTTCTACAGCCATGAAAACTTTGAGGTCCACACAGATACATGCATATTTTCTCCTGTTACCCCAGAACACACAGAGTTCCCAGTGGCTTCCCACCTGTGGATACACTCCCATGGAAGCCCTCAGTATGATATAGAGGGGGGATGATGGCAGGACCACCCAAGCACCTGAGGTTTGAATTTGCACACATCTTTCAGCATCTTTTCTTTGGAGTTCCAAATTCTCCAAACTGCTTGGTACTATTCAAATTTGTTCCATAAACACAAGTAAACCTAACAAAAAAGCAAAATAACTCTTAGCAGTAAAGCTGTTGGATAAATGGCAGTTTAAATCATTTTTACCCCCACTGACAGAGATGACTTCAGCTCACTGCTACCTGAGAGTAGTAATAAATATTTATAAAGTACTCTACTGAGATGTTCGGAACATCACACTGCTCCAATAGACAATTTCAGGCTAGAGTGAAATGGGCAGGATAAAAAGTAAACAAAAATAAACTTCAGACTAGATCACTTGTCCATTTACTCTGTTTTAAAATAAACAAGAGTACTAGTTTCAATTTCTACTGCTGGGTGGAACTTCCACATTACTAAAAATAAAACCTCCTCACAAGTTAAGTGGTTAGAATGTTCTTAATCCTCCACAGGTGAGGCAAAGAATTTGTCTGGTATCGTTCCCATGAGCCCAGGAATGGAAAGCCAGGGCATTTTTTCATTCTTTATGCTGAGTTTGTCTGTCTCTTATCAGGCTTCTAGTGAGAAAGAAAAATGTTTCCATTAGGGAGAAAGTTTCCCCCCGCCCCAACTTAAAATCTGTTTAAAATTTTACAGCAGACCCACTATTCTGGAGAGTTATCACTATACTAGGAGTTGCAAAAAGGAGGAATATCTATTGTCTACTGCTATGGCTTTGACTCCTTAGCAAAAAAAAAAAAAGTCTTGAAGAAATAAAGAAAAGTTAAAAGTGTCACTTCCACCAATGAATACAACTATATATAGATATCCTTCAGTAAAAATAGAGTGAGTAATTTGCCTCTTGGCCCAATTAACATGTCCATTCATCCCATAGTTGAAAATTCATTTTTTTTTTTCTCAAACAAGAATTCAGGCTGCTGATTACCTGTTTTCCCTATGCCATCCTTATTATTTAAATGCCCTTTCTTTTGACCATTTCTAGTTTTGGGCAAAAAAATGGAATTACTTGAAAATCTATAATAAACTTCACTCCCTCTTTCAGAAATTCTTTTGAATTCTATTCTGATTGTCCTGGAAGGATGGTAGGTTTTTAGTATTTAGTTTATGTTCACAAGTAATTCCTCCAGTCAGTGACTCATTTTGAAGGTGTAGGTACTTGGCAACATTATTACCCTTGCCCCAAAATACAGCCTGTCTCTCATCTGCTCCTGTGGGGTTAAAGCTCTCAGGCATCTGCCCCCACTTACCAAGCACCCTTCCTGCACAGAATATCAAACTTCCCTGCCTTTTCCAACCTCCTGACAGCTACTCTTGCTTTGCCTCAGGACCTAGATCTTAAATATTTGAAGACAGAAACTCCTACTTTTGCACATTGGATTTATTTTGTCCTACACATTTTTTCTAATAGAGAAAACAGCCCGTTTTAACCTCAACAAATACACACATTTCACTCAATAGCTACCACCCATCTTTCCCTCCCTCCCTCTCTCTCCCAGAACCTAACAACTGGGTCTCAGCCCTAATAAAATTTGCACTGTGAAAATTTTACTCTAAATAATTAATGGATTTGTTTTACAGAACATCTTCACTTAATATTTTATTGTATCCACGTTAGCAACACAGTTCCAGGACCAGCCATCTATTGTTGTTCTGTGGGATTTGATTTAGTTTATTTCATTTATTAACAAATTTATTCTTCCTCCTTCCATCTCATGGTCTCTCCCTTTGTTATTCTATTATTTTCTGTCTTCAGCCAAATCCCTAACTGGGTCTTTAAAATAATTTCTCATTTTTCCAACTAAATGAAAGATGTGGGCTTCTAACTCTTCATGTTTCATCAACATGAAAATGTCAAAATCCAACAATTAGCAATATTAGACAAGTAATAAAAATAATACCAAATATATTGCTTTAAACCTGAAGAGCAAAAACCACTGACTTTATATATGTATGCATATGTAAGTCTGTTTGTATTTGGCCCCAAACTATATTTTAAGATTCAAATGAAAGTTTTAAGTCTCCCAAACACAGACACTTTAAAAAGGCTTCTGCATTTTTTGTACACATCATCAATTCGAAACAGGTTAAGAACTGAAATCAGGCTTTTCTCATTTTTCAAGAGACTTGTCAAAACATGTTAAACACACACACACAAAACAAAATCAATTTTAAAAATTTATTATGACATTCATTTCCAGTAGAATACATTCATGGCACTACCACGTCTACTATTCTTTTGAATTGCCCATTCCTTCTATTTACATAGCTTTTCACCTCTCAGAGGTTGGCAATTTAAAGTTGTTATTAAAACAATAATTTACTTTGATGTTGATTTTTCCCCAAGTAAGGATTAAATATCTAAAACAAAACGTATAACCACACTTGTTGATACTCTATATTCTACTTTCCTATCTTAACATTATAACAGCCTGGAATTTTACAATGTAATCTTAGAATCTGTAAGTATTAAAAGTACATTTGGAGTAAAACTGAATTTCAAGACGCTCTGTTTCATAATAATCAAGGTACATTATTTTCCATATACTTATGTGGCTCGAATTTTATTATGTATCTAAATGTCCTGTGTCAGTTTTAATTTGGTTTAAATTCTTGATACCAATAAGCCTTCATCAATTCCTAAGAAAATCACAGCTCATTAGTAAAATGAAGTTTTATCTGACAAAGTTATCTATTATTTAAGTTAAATAAACATTAAGTATCTAAAATTTTAATTAACAATATTTTGTAAGTTAAATTTATTCTTATCATTCCTTCTTTTAATTTTGTCTATATATATTTTTAGTAATAGCTTCTAGTTCCTATTACAGGGAGAATCGTCCTCTGCATTATATAGTACAGACTGCTGTAATTAATTAGTTACGTAACTTTCACTAATTAAGTAAATTCACCTTTCACAATTTCTTTTTCCTTATCTATAAAATAAGGAAAGTTAATTTCATATATTATCCTTAAGGTCTCTTCCAGCTCTAGCATTCATTAGTAAAGATCCAAATTATACAAATTTTGATATTCATAAACTATAATAGCTATTAAATCAATTTCAAAATAGCCTTATAAAATGTGACTTTCTATGTTGCAAAATTGTGAACTACTATGTTTTGCTTTCTCTAGAATCTTACTGATTTAGCTCTAAAATATACTTATTTTATCAAGGCTTCTTAGAATATGTTGAAATAAGGTCAAAGCCAAGATATATTTGAGCATAATAAATATTATTGGTAACGATTATACGATTTTTTGCTAACGCAGATACATCACTCATCACGAAATGAAATAAAGCCAATGTTTTCAATTAAATATGTAAATCTGCCTGGGACTTATTTAATATCCGACCTTCCAGGAGAATTCCTTTCAAGTTTAATTTCAGTGCAAAACCAGAGAATCTTGATTTGTCTTAATAACAGCTTTATGTATAAGTGACATATAAGTAGATGTGTTAATTAATTTTAGGTTTAAAAGAGAGGTCCTAGATATAATAGTATGCTTTTCTCCTTCCAGGAGGGTGTGGTACTGAAATCTCTATTAGAGTTAATTATTAAATCTCTATTAGAGTTAATTATTAAAATAAGAAAATTCTTAACACTGGTCAAATTAGACAAGTGGCTACACTATAACACCTCCACTGCTAGAACAATGGAACCCCCAGGAAAGAGCAAGTGGAACTACAATGGGGAGATGAGCAAAAACCAGATACTGACAACTTAAAGATAACAAAAGGACTAAAAAATCAATACAAGCTAATACAAGCTAAAAATTCATTAAAATTTTTTGTTTCATTTCTCAGATCAAGAACTTTCTTCGTCATCAATTTAATGCTTATAAGAGGCACTGAAATTTACACACATTTCTAGAACATACTTCTTTCCAACACGATGTCTCTTATTAGAAAAATGGTTTTCTGAGATAAAACTGTGAAGAACAATGAAGAAAGAAAAAGTTCAGAGAAGGTTGACCCAGATTTAACATAATCTGAGGCAATATTGTAATTTGTAAAAATATGAATTTGTGATTAAGACAGAAGAACATTTTGAAAATATTTCCAAACCCAACATGATATTCTGTGTTGTGACACTCTCAAGAGTACTGAATAATCTCTAATATCACTTAAGGAATGAGTGTTATTAGAAATTATTAAATAATACCCAAAGCTTAGTTCTTAGATTTAGAGATTGGGATTTATTCTAATCCAGTGTTTGATTAATTGATGTGCAATAGCTCGGCTTGGTGGCACAAAGAATGCCTGCTGCTTCCCTTTGGTCAGAACATCCAGGACCTAAAACACACCATAACAGAATGCATTAGGATTTCAAAGCTGTCATATTTAAATACTATTCCCATACTTACATAATTCAATTAAAATGTGATGAGTTTTACGGGGAATAACAGTAGAAAGTGACAACATCCATATTTACAGGCAAAGTTTTTTTTTTTTTTTTTTTTTGGAACAAGGTCTTGTACTCTGCCACCCAGACTGGAGTTGCAGTGGTACAATCATGGCTCACTGCAGCTTTGACCTCCTGGGCTCAGGCGATCCTCCTGCCTCAGCCTCCCAAGTAGCTGGTACCATAGATGCACACCACCACACCTGGCTAATTTTTTAAAAATTATCTGTACAGACAGGGTCTCCCTATGTTGTCCAGGCTAGTCTCAAACTTCTGGGTTCAATCAAGCTTCCTGCCTTGGCCTCCCAAAGTGCTGAGATTACAGGTGTAAGCCACCACACCCAGCCTCAACATGCAAAATTTAGTACAGCATTTTTAACTCCTTCACTGAGTTAGTGATTCAATTTTTAAAATGTTCCAGAAAGACACATTCCCTTATGAAAAAATGACATCATGAAAAATTAAAATGTATGCTCCACACTTAATTTCTAAGTGAAGCCAACTTTTGAAACAGATTCTTTTTTATAAAATTCATAAGCAATAATCTAAATTCCATCTTTTTGGATTAAGCATAGAATAAAATTAATTTTATGCAGGCAAAGTCAGAAAGAATTTCAGGTCAGATGAGTAATCCATCTTTCAATATATTATTTAGGAATGGCATTTTAAAAAGTTATTTTAAGTGTATGTTTATTATACAGTTATGTCATTCTTGGCCTTAAGTACATTTTAAGATGAATAAAAACTTTCTGAAAATTTTAAGCACTTACTGATGTTTTTTGAGAGCCACTTGTTTTAATGTTATAAACTAAAATATAAAAGGTTTGAGAATATTCCTGTTTCTCATCTATGAATTAATGTTTAAGCCCACTGATAGGTACTATTAATGTGTAGGAATGGAATCTAAAATTCGAAATGGTACAGAATCATCTCTACTAGAAAAATCTCACAGAATAAGTTAATATAGATCACATTAGTGAAACATACTCCTCTTGTATGGAATTACTAATTACCATGTAATCCATGCATAATGAGAGGGCCAAAGCCATCATTCAACTTGCTGAAAATATGCATCCTTGTTCTGTGCCCAAACCAATACAGTCAGGGAACAATCAATAGAAGAAGGAAATTAAATTGAACTTTACCTGTTCTCTAGTGAACCAGCGGGCATCCTCTATTTCATTCTTGTCAACTTTAATTTCTGTAGACACTGCCACAGCTAAGCAACCAATCATTAAGGAGGAAGGCATTGGCCATGGTTGACAAGAGACATACTGAACATGGCCAACTTTGACTCCACTTTCCTCTTCTACTTCTCTTCTAACAGCATCTTCTATTGTCTCTCCTAATGAAATGGAGCAAAAGAACAAGTTGCTGATGAACATGCCCTGGACATTTTGTGTCCTGAATCGTTCAAACATCTGGAAATCACTTTGGACAGAAACCCAATTCAAATAATCAGAAAGCAGAAGCCTAAAACTAGACTGTAACTGAAGAAAACATAAATTTTTAAAGTACATGACCACATATAGAATATGAAAATGCCAACAATAAACTTTTCATTTTTTTAAAGGTCCAAATTTGTCAGTTACATTTTAAAAATAATGATATCATCTAAAAATATCCAATACCTAATATTGGTTAAACACTATGCAAACACTTTATATCTGATCTCATTTATATATTGTCCACTAAATAGATATAAATTACATGATTTTTACAAATAGCTCTTTCACACCAAAATTTTCAAACTCTTTTTATTATGTTGTCAAACAATTATTGCAGGTAACTCTTTTCAGGTCATGAAAAGATTAAAAACTACATAAGATGAAATTTAATACTTTTTCGAAGCAATTGTTTTCCTCTAGATGACTGCTGACTCTGCCATGATAAAATAAAGTGATGCCTATAAATGTACTTTATATTTCTAATTTGTTGGATTTAAGAATTAGAATAGGCGAAATCATTTCTAAGTAAAATCATTTTTAACTAAATCTGGAAGTTTAGAAACATTTTGCTAAATATTGCTGTATTTAGCAAGATATATTTTAAATATAGCTTTCTATTTCACATACATTGATAAATTTCCTACACGAAAATTAACAACTTACAATAATCAAAAGAACACATATAGTAAAAATATAATTATAGACTAGCATAAGATATTTGCAAAAGATTTGCATATGCTACATATTTAAGAATTCTTAAAATGAATAAAAAAGGATAAACAATGAAAACAAAATTAGGTAAAAGACAAACATCTAAAATTCAGAGAAATGAAAACTGAATGCCTAATACACATTTGAAAAAAGATGTTCCATCGGCAAGAAAATGAAAACGAAAACGCGATATAATTTCATTCACCCCTCAGAATGACAAATTTAAAAGTCTGAAAATCCTAACTTGGTGAAGATGTGGAATAATGGAACATTTCATGTTCTGCTGGAGGAAGTATAAATTGGCAGAAACACTTCAGAGACAACTTGGCAATATATAGAAAAGGGTAAGATGCTCATATCACATAAGCTGGTGGTGCTACTCTATGTATACAATCTAGATAACTCTTGCAAGTGTGCACAAGTATAAAAATATTAATTGCAGTGTTGTTTGTAATAAGAACTTTAAATGTCCAATCAGCAGAAGGGATAAATAATGGAATATTCATGAATGGATTACTACCCAGCAGTTAAGACAATGACAATGACCTAGAACTACTAAAGACAGTATAGGGATTTGCAGCAAGAACTCAGAAGCCAACATGCCCAGGTTTAAATCCCTTCCCTATCACTTACTCGCTGTTTGAACTTGAGCAAATTATTTCATCCCTATGCCTTAGTGCCCCTATCTGCAAAATCACTGTAATAGTGTATTTTATAAGGTTGTAAGAAGATCATACTATATATATATATATATAAAAAACACAGCCTGATACTGTTTTATATATATGATATGATCCTTCTCCAGAACACAGGCTGATACTGTATGTTTACTATTATCTAGTAATGCAAATATTGGAAACTGAAATTGAGATAAAACATTTATTACTTAGACATATTCACTCCACAAACATTTACTGACCTACTGCATGTGCTATAGGCATGTGCTATGAGGATTTCATACATAGCAGTGGATAAAGTCCCTGTGCTAATGAAACTTATATTCTTGAGACAGCAGATAATAAATTAATAAGTACATACATAGTATATTAGGTGATGATGAGTGCCCTAGGGAAAAATCAGGCAGGATGATAGGGATTGTGAATGCAGGGTATGGGGGCTAACTAATGTATCTGGGGCAATTAAGTAAGGCCTCTTCGAAAAGGTGACAGTTGAGTCTAGTACAGAAGGAAATGAGGTGGAACCTAGACACCTGGGTCAAGAGCAACATATCAAAGAGCAAATACTGAATTTTTAACAAAGCAGATCCAATTACTAGGAAAAGCAATTTATGTAATTCTCATATAAAACATGAGAATTACATGTTTAAACTATTATTGAAATTGTATCATGTTTAAAATACTTTAAAATAACCCAGTTTTATAACATACTTTATCAGAGATTATTAAATGTTATCTAAACTTTGTATTTTGAAATCATAAGTTAAATAGAAATTATTAAGAAAAGGCTTACCAGGCTCAATAAATCCAGCAAGGCAAGTAAACATGCCTGGGGGAAATCTTTTCTGCCTGCCTAAAAGACATCTGGTCCCATCTGGATGAATAACTTGCATGATTACTACTGGATCTGTTAAAAAAAAAACCATATATATGAATGGCAGGAAAAACGCATTTACATTCATGTGCAAACACTGTCTGATAGGATAAAATAAAGGTGTATCTCCTATAGGGATAGAACCCTTGTCTGGTTGTAAGAGATTGCTTCTTTCTGCCCTAATGTAGCTGACAACAGAATATCTCAGCGAAATTGTACAGAATAGTGTCAATAAGCTAGCAGAAGACCATTTTTGTCCTTCTTCCCCCAATCTTAACAGCAACATTTATTCTGTACTTATGGATGTTAGGTGTATTTTTATTTTAATGAGAAAAACTTTGAGTAGGTAATACATGCAAATAAGGAAAATTCAAATTTTACCACTGTAAATAATTTCCCTCTCCCATCCTAACCCTTAACAAAATGTTTTTAAAAGCTAATATGGTTCTATGATTAGATTTAAGTCGTTAAATAAAATTTAAATAACAGTTCATCTCTCTAGAAGTTACTAATTCAGCAAATTCTTCTCACTATATCATGACTAAGAACTAGAAATTAAATATAAAAGGTTCTTGAACAACAAAAACAGATGTCACTAGGCCATGTTATTTTTCTCCCCAGAGGCCTCCTCAGGTGTTGCTGAGCCTACCTATCATTTTTTCACACAGTTTTAAAGGTCTGGGTTATCAGATTTCCAAACCTACGGCAGACTCAAAGCAGCAATTAGAAGAGAGAATACAGGCAGACATTAACAGTAGTGAAAAGCTAGGGCCAGGCTGTACTGCTATGGTAATGCCTCAAACAGGCAAGAAATTGTTGGGGCTTTTTCTCCATTAAGTGGAGCCACACTGGTTGACTTTTGAAATCATGTATCATAACATATCAGGTTCATAGTGAGTAACCCAAAGTTAAGAAATGGCTATTGAATGTACCATGTTTTTTACTTAAAAATCATGAAAGTATGTTACACTTTAACACTTACATTCTTAATGGTTAGACATGTTTTCCATAAAAAGGAAAACTTTTTAGCTCCTCACAAATTTTCTCTTTCCAGAATATCCTATTCCCCAAGATCCAGGTGGTGGAGACATAAAATAAAGGGCTTACCAACTCTTGGGTATGATGTATTATGAACGCCATTGAGACTAGGACAGTCTTCTTTTAAACATACTCTCTTATATCCACCTTCTTCAATTTTAGTTCCATTTCCACAGGTTGGGCAAAACTTATATCGACTGTGCCAGGCAAGAACAGATCTTGCTTGAGCTACAACCCCTTCAAAAAAAATAAAAATAAAATAAAAATTTTAATTCTGTGACAAATTAAAATCTATAAGTAAAATATTCTCAAGTTACAATAAAAATAGCTATGTGATCAGGTATTTTAGTGTTTCTATTTTTATAACGTGTATTTTTCTTTTAAAGTAAAAGATTTAATTTTCTGGATGACAAAAATTAGATTCAAGTTTAGTTTGAATAAAATATAACTCTCATATAAGATAGAAGTACTAACATCTATCTTACATCATACATTAGATCAGGCTTTTAGTGTAGGTGATTTTAAAAGTTGGGGTATTCATGATTCTAGTGTAGAGTAAGTTTACAAACAGTGATTTTACAATAGTGATTTTAATAAAAATATACCACAGAAGCAGTTCTTGAGATTTGTACTCTAAAGGAAATATTACTAGGAAACCGTAGGAGGCTATCACCACTCTCTTGGTGACTATGCCACTGATGGTCGACGCTGTGTGGAACACAACCTGTTTTCAACTGGAGACTGCATGTACACACTATAAAACACACTGCATTTACTATGTTCATGGTTAACTTTGTTTACCAAAAAATGCCTAATAGGATAAATCTTAAAATATACACACTTTAGCTATACGTTTTACTCTGGTAGTTCAAAAAAGAATTAATACGACCTGGCCAGAAATATTACAGTTGAGGCAATAAGACTAGAAATGCTATATTTTAAATGCTTGACAAAGTCACCTCCCTAAAATACATTATTTGGTCTACAGATTTCTGAAATGAACAAAATAATAATTAAAATTCTAACATCGTTTAAACTGGGAAAAATAAACATAAAACAGTTGTAATGAACAGACAACGTTACATTTTTGCCTGCTACCTAACCTTATAATATGTAACATGCTAGGGTATTTACATTATTTCAGAATCATCACAAAAAGAAAAGCTAACATTTATTGAGTACTTACAATGTTCCAAGCATCATGCAAGGAATATTTATAGATTATCCTATGTTTAGAGCAACCCTAAAGAAGATAGGTACTATTATTATTTTCTGTAGGAGTAAACTGAGTCACAGAAAAGTTAAGTCTGTATAAAGTTATAGAGCAAGTGAGTTAAAAGGCCTCAGTTTTCCTACAAGGGAAAAAAGCAAGCAAGTAGCTCATTTATCATATCTTTTTTATCTTAAAGTGATATATACATGTCTAAAGAAAGTAAATTTTCTTTAAAAAGCTTGATGATTTCTGCACAGGTGTGGAGAATAAAACATACCACATCACACTTTGAGACGGAGATATTTAAGCAGTCTCTGGCAGGACCTCTATCACCTAAGGGAATGTGGTCACTGACAAGTGACCTCTTCCTAACTTCCCATTAACTTATCAATCGACCATAATCTGGCTTCCGTTCCTTTCACTCCACTGACATTTCTCTTGTCAAATTCATCAATAGCTTTATATTACCAAAGACAAAGATTCTTTAAAAAAAAAAAAACCCACAAAACTTTGCCTTCATCTTCCTCAAGTTCATAACAGCATTCAATACATTTGACCACTCCCTCCTGGAAATACTCTGCTGTCTTGGTTTCCCTGAGGCCTCTTGATCTCTTTCTACCTCATGGCCGCACTGTTTCCAACTCCTTTGATGGCTCTCCTGCTTGCAGCTTACCTTTAAATTTAGGGGGATTCAGGTCTTACTCAGAGAGTTTTTCTTGCTTCCTCTCAACTCTCCAAGTAATCTCAGTAGTTTTTTGGGATTTAAGTATTTTTGTGTTGATGACTGCCATATGGGTATTTCCAGTTCAGACATCTGATTCTAATGTCCATTTCTAAAACTTAGTATGCCCAAAAGTAAACTCTTGATTTATTTACTCCAAGTCTATCCTGCTTTCCTTGCTCTACCCATCATATTATTGAGAAATGGTATCACTATATACCAAATTATTAAAGTCTCTAGCCTAGCAGTCATTCTTAATCTTTTCCTTCATTATTATATATCCCATATCCAATTCAATAGCAAAGACCATTGATTTTATCTCCAAAATTTATCTTGCATATACCCTCTTTCCTCCATTTCTACTATCAGTACTTTAATTCATGCCATATTACCACCATCTCTCACTTCTAAGGGTCTCAACCTACAGATCAAGCCCTATCCATTCTACCTCAAGAATATCTCAAATTCTCCCTTTGTCTCCATCTCCACTGCCTCCATTCTAACTCAAGCCATTGCAATCTCTTACTTGGGCAATTGTAATACTCAATTACCTCTAACAAGACTCCCAACTTTCACACTTACTTACATGTGTGCAATTTATGCTCTATGATGTAGTCAGTGTGCAGTGCAGTGTTTTGTTTAAAAAAAAAAAATTTAAATACAGGTTAGGTTACATTTAAATGGACTTTAGAATCAAACTCTGATTTCCTACCATGCCATAAAAAGCGCCAGCAACAGAATACAAAACAAATCAAAACAGTCAAGGTCTTTGCCATCATGTTCTGTGTGTAGCAGGAACTCAAGAATTATTCACTGAGGAATCAAATGAGATCATCATGCACCAGTGTTAATTCTCAGGAAATCAGTCTGGGCTGATTAGAACTACTAACTGCCCAGGAGAGTAGTCCCCTACGGTGAGAACTTTAGGAGGTTTCTGATGATGACAGTCTAATTTCACTGCTTATTGGAAAAAAAGTGGCCCTGGAAAGTGCAAATACATACAATTCCAACTCAATTCTAAAAACCAGATTTTAGCAACAAAAAGCAGCATTCATTTCTTACCAGCTTCTTTTTCTTTCAATTGCAGAAGGGCTGGCATAGGAGGATGAAGAAAGTAACAATTTTCATGTCTTTGCTTGAATTCTTCAGCAGCAATAGGATCTATACCTAGAGCAAACCAGGCAACCAATCCATCATCCTCCTCTCTCGGGACTTCACCAGCATAATTAAGTAGCTTGTCTTTCATTTCAAGTTCCACTCCAAGAAAAATCAAGGTGATCTTCTCAGGCTGGGCCAAATAATCCTTTATATCTTTGTAGTTCAGCTGACAAAGCCTAACTTCTGGTTGTTGGAAACTTTCTTTATTGCCACCTAGAGTAACCAAGGGATTTAAATCTGAGAAAAGAATAAAAACTGTGGCTGGATGGCTTTCTTTAGCTAGTAGCCAGTCAGAATTATTTCTCTTTTCACTTTTCCGGTCCAGTAGTGTTTTGCTAAAATAATTTTCACATTCTTCCACTTCATTAGTTAGGAACCAAGGCTTCTTCCCACCTTTAGCAGTAGCTAGTAAATTAGCTATATGCTTATAACCCCAAAATACAGCAATATCCAGTGCAGTCTGCCTTGATTTATTGACAATTGATCTGTCACACCTACAGATGGAAGAAAAAATGGGGAGAAAAAGTAAAATAGGAAGTAAACACTTTCTCCTGTATTTGTTTCAATAAAATATTTCCAGATGCACATTCAAGTCCTTCTTTTTAATGATTACATAGATTTTTTTTCTTGTGTTACATAGTTTACTATTGGGAAGGTTAGAACAATAATCATAAATGACAAAAAGAGACAGTGGATACTTACACTTTCTGGATAATTACTCACAAAACAAAACAGCACTAAGTTTTATGTACTATAAAGAGATACCAAAATTCTACAAGAAGTCTTTGGTAGTGATAGTGAGATTTGCATTTTCTATTTGGGAGAAAAATTTATTATTAGACTTCTCATAAATTTGCTTTGCTATAAAGTAATAATTTCTCAATGAAAAGGTTACAAAGTTTTAAGTTAGAAAAATTGTGCTACATGTTTACATAAATTAGCCAATGAGTTATTTAGTAGTTCAACAATATAAATATGGAAACAAGCAAAATTTAAAAGTAAATATGTAACAAAGAAATTAAACCACAAACCCTTTCAGGTGGTACAGCCTAAAATGTTTACCCTTTCTCAAGCAGAAATTGGACAATCTCTGGGTGCCCATTCCTTGCTGCATACATTAAAGCAGTCCAGCCATTTTCAGAAGTTTCATTGAGAAGAGATGGAGAATGACTGAGTATTCCTGTTAACTTAGCAATATCTCCTTCAGCAGCTGAACAGTGAAACTGGGTAACTATTTCTTGCTTTGGACTTCTTTTTACAGAAGACATTTCTTCCTTAAAAGAAGGAAAATAGGGGGAAAAAGCTTATTTGCAACTGCTTTTTTGTCAATGAATGATATTGTTAGAATAGCAGCAATGGTTTCCAAGGCAATATACTCTTCAAAAGGCAATCATTAAACAGCATACATTTCAATTTCAAAATGTTATCAGTTTAGAATTACAAATACAATGAAATTTATATGCTCATGGGAGTTACACAAAATAATGTATAAAGAGCTTTGATAGCACAGACGAGGGGGCCATATCCTTGGGAGGGGGAACCAGGTAACATATTACATAAGGATGAGGTATTTAGGGTACACCAGAGGGGACTTCATGATGAGGTGGGGACATGACAGGGAGAACATTAAAATAGATGGAAGTAAAGGCAGAGATTTTCTAAGTTTCACATGAAAACAGTTTATTGTTTGACCTTGCACAATTAATTCTGTAATCCATCTAGGATCTATTTTTGTTCATGGAGTGAGGTAGTGGTCAAGACACTTTTTTGCCCAAGGCATAATCCATATGACTCGACATTATTCTTGAAATTTCCATCTTTGTTGTACTGTACTGAGACAAATATTGTCACAAATCAGATGACCATATATTTTTGGTTCTATTATTGGACAGTTCTGTTGATCACTTTGTTGTCCTTGAATCAGAGCAGTTTTTAAAACTCATTAACTTTATCTGCTTTGTCCCTCTTTTCAGTGGTGGAAAACCCCCCGAAATAACTGCCCCACACATCTTAAACATTGCTTAATCATGGACTGCAGATAGTAGAGCACAAACTGAGCTTTTTTTTTTTTCTTTTTTGGTGGGGGGGATGGTGAAAATGGTTAATGATTCAACTGTCTGTGAATTTTTCAAAGTATTTTTTTAAGGTATAATTTTTCTTTCTATGAAATGCTATTAAGAAAAGATTTGGGATTCTAACTACATTTCTATTATTCTAAGCAGTAAGATTTTTAAGCTGAAAAGACAGAAATGTTATAGCCCATAGTTTTTGATAGCTGCTGTCTCCTGGGTTCTGAAAGGGCAATCTGGCTGATGAATTGCATAGCAGGAATAGTATGAACAAAATTTAGGGAAAACAAGGAGTAAAGATTAATTTTATTTTAGAGCTGTTCACCTTTCCTATTTGAGTCTTTCTGCTACTTATAAATAGGTTAAAACAGCTCAGAGTCATGGAAACACTTGGATAAAACCTAATAGTGGAACTCTGTTTAGAAATTAAATTACCAGAAGTAATATCTACATGAGAGAATAATTGACTTACTCTAGAATTTACTTCGCTAGAATTTATTCCTTTCATATTGAAATTTTTTTTTTTTTCTTTTTTTTTTTTTTTTTGAGACGGAGTCTGGCTCTGTTGCCCAGGCTGGAGTGCAGTGGCCGGATCTCAGCTCACTGCAAGCCCCGCCTCCCGGGTTCACGCCATTCTCCTGCCTCAGCCTCCCGAGTAGCTGGGAGTACAGGCGCCCGCCACCTTGCCCGGCTAATTTTTTTTGTATTTTAGTAGAGACGGGGTTTCACCGTGTTAGCCAGGATGGTCTCGATCTCCTGAACTCGTGATCCGCCCGTCTCAGCCTCCCAAAGTGCTGGGATTACAGGCTTGAGCCAGGTGGCGCCCGGCCTCATATTGAAATTTCTAAATACTTTAAAAATATTATGCATAACAAAAGCTTTAACTTTTCAGGACTTTATTTTGAAGCACTACTGTACAGCTCCTGTACTGATCTACCTTCAAATTGTCTTTCTCTTAAATTTATTTTCCAAAAATCCATATTATAGTTTTTTCAGCTAGGTTTAGTTTGAATAATATTTCAGTGTCTCATGTTCCAGGGTCACGGTCACTCCCTCACATTCTCACAGGCTGCGCTAGGTGACTGCAAAATTGTCCTTCAAAAGTACAGCGTCATTCACTACCTCCAGGGCAATGCTTATGCATATGCTATTCTGTGGAGATAGGAAGTGGAAAGTGTACACTTTTCCCTCTTGCTTTCTCAGCAGAAAAGCCATCTAGAGACAGTACCATTATTCATTCCAGAGAAGCACATAAACTCTAACACCCAATTCTACTGTTTGATTTACTTTTTCAATTCTCATTGGCAGGTTATAGAAGGTAAGGATTTGAAGGCAGAATAAAGTGCTGCCCTTGTTTTCCAAGAAGCTCAAGGACTATTCCGAGAAATCATTTAAAAGAATATTAGATTTAAAGGGACATAAATTTTTAACAAACCACATCCACTTTTACTGACGTGTAACCCGGGGCCCATGACTTGCGCATGCTCTCGTAGACCGAGTGGGACAGGACAGGACCTCAAATATCGCTCTGTCACTGAAGTCACTGACCATCAATTAACGAATTTCATCCACTCCCTGGGCACTCAAGACCAATTAAGCGCCACCTGTGCACGGTCTCGGAAAATGGTAACACGCCTTGAGCTATTTTACTTTCTTGCCACTACTGTTAGGTTCCTTCTTTCGAGGTGAAATCACTCCCTAAGTAGCGCTTCCTTTTCCCCATCTCAGCTAGGGCAGGAAACTCCACTAACCTCAGGACCACCTGCGCCTCCGCCCTGTCCCGAGAGTCCCCGCAAATGCGTCTGTGGTTCCTGCGCCTGCGCCCACCAACCCACTACGAGGCTGCGCCACACTACCCAGCAGGGCCACTCAGAGCAGCGCGGGAACCAAAGAGCCCAGGGAACTGGTCACTGTCCCCAGAGGGGACACTGAGACGACTAACTCGCCGCTGCTTCTACTAACCCAAAGGTGACCACAGTAGAGGCGACCAGGATGCAGTCGAAGAATTGGGATATCGCAGTCGAAGGATTGGGATATCCCACTCGCTTTTCCTGGCGCCGGATGCAACCTTCTCGACTTCCTGTGGCGATCCGGGGTCTTCCCGTGGCTTTATGGGAGTTGTAGTTTGAAGCCCACAGGTTGTGCGCAACCGGAGAAGGGGCGGAGATTGCGGGGGGAGGTGTTTGGGAGCCCGCGCGGGAGAGATTGAGGTCTAAAGGATTGGCGCTGAGTGAAGGTCTGAAAATTCTTTTCCTGAGACTGTGATGTATAGATAGAACGTGGTGCAGGAGATCGGAAAACCGTAGGCCTGAGGAAGCAATTATAAATTTCCCAGCGTCTGGCACCCAGCTCCCAGCCCTCTCTCCAATACAGTCCGGTGCAATTAAGTGCTCAAAGCATTCTTTTCTGTTAAATAATCTTGGAATATTGACTATACCAAGTCAGTCTTAAAAGAGATATTTGGCCTCTGTAACACCTTAATCAATCACCCCGTGTGAAAACTGGTATCATGTACTGACGCGTAACTCATTCATAGTCCTTTAAAAAGTATGTATCAAGCGCCCACAACACCTTCTTGGATTGTGAGGTTTACATAGGATAATACATCCAAAGCTCTTAGGATGTTGTGAAGTGCAGAGCGGGCACCCACAACAAAATTATTGTCATTATTTATTATTTCAGTTCCTGTGCTTTTATGCTCCAAAACCTACAGAAGTTATGAGTCCGAGATTACAAAACTAGGTGTTGGCGGTCTTCTAACTTCCAGACTGGGCTTTTTCCTTTGCTAAACTTCTCCTTGGTTATCAGCAACAGCTACAGGGGTCTCTTACAATTTATCATTGTTTCCCACCCAGAGTTTACCCTTGGAAGCTCCTTCTCACCGTGAAGCTGCTTTTCTTTTCTTTCTTTCTTTTTTCTTTTTCTTTTTTTTTTTTTTGAGACAGGGTCTTACTCTGTCACCTGGGCTGGAGTGTAGTGGTGCGATCTTGGCTCACTGCAGCCTCCGCCTCCCGGCGGTTCAAGTGATTCTCCTGCCTCAGCCTCCCAAGTAGCTGGGATTACAGGCCTGCGCCACCAGGCCCAGCTAATTTTTGTATTTTTATTAGAGACGGGGTTTTGCCACGTTGGCCACGCTGGCCTCAAACTTCTGACCTCAAAGTGATCCATCCACTTCGACCTCCCAAAGTGCTGGGATTACAGGCGTGAGCCACCCGGCTGCCCTATGCTTCTTTATGTGACTAGTTGTCTTCAATCTTTAATAATTTCAGTGACTAGACTGGTGGTCCGAAAGGATTAGTCACTTCACTCGGAGTACCCAGTCTTTGCATTCAAACACGTTAGGTTAGTATAGTGAACTCTCGTGTATTAATGATCCAGAGTCGACAATTATTAATATATAGTTCTCCCAGTTCTTAGGATTGTTTTGAAGTAAATTCCAGACCCCATATTGTTTTGATGACAAATATTTAAGAATAAACTTTTTGGAAATATGAATTATATCTAAAATACAAGGGCTTTGAAAAACAACACAACTTCAATATCCCTAGTATTACAAATTTAACAATAATTCTGTAATAACATAAAAGAAACATTCAATGTCAAATTTACTTACTTGCCTCAGAAATTTTTTGTTTTCCAGTTGATTCATCTAAACAAAGTCTCCACATCACATTTGATTTTTAAAAATCGATGGACTCCTTCCTCTTCCCCTTTTTTTCTGGCAGTTTCTTTGCTGAAGAGTAATGATCATTTGTTCTATAGAATTTTCCACATTCTGAATTTTGCATATTATATTCCTGTGGTGTCCTTTCCCCCTGTATTTCTTGCAAACTGGTAGTTAATAGAATACTCAGATTAAAGTTTGATTTTTTTTTTCACAAAAGACTTTTTAGGTGTTATAATTTGTATTGAATTACTTCAAGAGGCTTACAATTTCTGGTTGTCTGTCTTTTTTTAATGTTATACTTGATCATTGGGTTCAGATGTCATCCTGATAACATTTATGATAAATAATATAAATATTATAAAAATATAAAATATGGCACATATTTATGATAAATATATGACATTGATATATAATTATGATAAATATAATTATATTATTAAATACTAAATTTCTGATAAATATATTTATTATAAATATCATAAAGTTTTCCATCAACTTTTCAGCTAAGTTTTAGCAGTCATTCATGATTATTGCCTACATCCATCATTTTGTTATGAGTTGCAAATAGTGATATTCTAATTTGATATTCACTCTACATTTACTAACGAATTATTTTAAAATAAAGAACTTCATCTAATTAAATATGCAGTTTATACGGAAAGATAGGATAAATGTGTGATTTTCACCATTATTTCCTAATCTTCAGAATAATTAGTTAGTTCCCTAATATCCTTCAGGTTTTTAAGTATACAAACATGCCTTGTTTTATTGCACTTTGCTTTACTGCACTTCACAGATAGTGCATTTTTTACAAATTGGAGGTTTATGACAACCTTATGGCAAGCAAGTCTATAGGTGTCACTTTTCCAACAACGTGTTCATTTTGTGTGTCTATCACATTTTGTAATTCTTGCAATATTTCCCACTTCTTCATTATTATATCTGTTATGGTGATCTGTGATCAGTAATCTTTGATGTTCCTATTGTAATTGTTTTGGATTGCCACAAACTGCACCCATATAAGTTGGCAAACTTAATACATGTTGTGTGTGTTCTCACTGCTCCATCCACTGGCTATTCTTGTCTCTCTCCCTCTCCTCAGGCCTCCCTATGCCCTGAGACACAACAATATTGAAACTAGGCCAATTAGTAACCCTGCAGCGGCCCCTAAGTGTTCAAGTGAAAGGAAGACTCACACATCTCTCACACACTTTAAATCAAAAGCTGGAAATTATTAAGCTTAGTGAGAAAGGCCTGTCAAAAGATAAGACAGGCCAAAAGCAAAGCCCCTTGCACCAAAGAGTCAGCCAAGTTGTGAAGGCAAAGGAAAAGTTCTTGAAGGAAATTAAAAGTACTACTCCAGTGAACACATGAATGGTAAGAAAGTGAAACAGCTTTATTGCTGACATGGAGAAGGTTTTAGTGGTCTGGGTGGAAGATTAAACCAGACATAATATCTCTTTAAGCCAAAGCTTCATCCAGAGCAAAGTCCTAACTCTCTTCAGTTCTGTGAAGGTCAAGAGAGGTGAGGAAACTGCAGAAGAGAAGTTGGCATCTAGCAGAGGTTGGTTCATGAGGTTTAAGGAAAAAAGCCTTCTTCATAACATAAAAGTGCAAGTTGAAGCAGCAAGTGGTGATGGAGACACTGCAGCAAGTTATCCAGAAGATCTAGCTAAGAGAATTGACAAAGACAACTAAACTAAACAGCAGACTTTGTAGAAAAAATAGCCTTCTGTTGGAAGAAGATGCCACCCAGGACTTTCATATCAAGAGGTAACAAATCAATGCTTGGCTTCAAAACTTCAAAAAACAGGCAGACTCACTTATTAGGGATTAATGCAACTGGTGACTTGAAGTTGAAGCTAATACTCACTTACAATTTTAAAAATCCTAGGGCCCTTAAGAATTATGCTAAATCTACCCTGCCTGTGTGCTCTAAATGGAACAAAAAAGCCTGAATGATAGCACATCTGTTTACAGCATGGTTTACTGAATAAGCCTACCGTGGACCCCTACTGCTCAGAAGAAAAGATTCCTTTCGGGGCCAGGCATGGTGGCTCACGCCTGTAATCCCAGCACTTTGGGAGACTGAGGCGGGTGCATCACAAGGTCAGGAGATCGAGACCATCCTGGCTAACATGGTGAAAACCCATCTCTATTAAAAACTACAAAAAATTCACCGGGCGTGGTGGCGGGCCCCTGTAGTCCCAGCTACTCGGGAGGCTGAGGCAGGAGAATGGCACGAACCCGGGAGGTGGAGCTTGCAGTGAGCCAAGATTGCACCACTGCACTCCAGCCTGGGTGACAGAGTGAAACTCCATCTCAAAAAAAAGAGAAAAGATTTCTTTCAAAATATTACTGTTAATTGACAATGTACCTGGTAACTGTCACTCAGGAGCTCCGGGGAGATATACAAGGAAATTAATGTTGTTTTCATACTTGCTGGCACAACATTCTGCAGCCCACAAATCAAGGAGTACTTTTTACTTTCAAGTCTTGTTATTAAAGAAATACATTTTGTAAGACAATGGCTGTCATATGGAGTGATTCCTCTGGTGGATCTGGGCAAAGCAAATTGAAAACCTTGTGGAAATGATTCACCATTCCAGACATCATTACAAACAGTTGTGATTCGGGCCGTGTGCCATGGCTCACACCTGTAATCCCAGCACTTTGGGAGGCTGAGGTGGGTGGATCACCTAAGGTCAGTCGTTCAAGACCAGACTGGCCAATATGGTGAAACCCCACCTCTACGAAAATTACAAAAACTAGTCAGGTGTGATGACGGGTGCCTATAATCCCATCTATTAGGGAGGCTGAGGCAGGAGAATCGCTTGAACCCAGGAGGCGGGAGTTGCAGTGAGCTGATACTGTGCCATTGCACTCCAGCCTGGGCAATAAGAGCAAAACTCTGTCTCAAAAAAAAGAAAAAAAGAAAATCGTGATTTGTAGAGGAGATCAAGCTATCAACATGAACAGGAGTTTGGAAGACATTGGTTCCAACCCTAATGGATGACTTTGAGTGGTTCAAGACTTCAGTGGAAGAAGTAACTGCAGATGCAGTGGTAGTAGCAAGGTAATCCAGATTAGAAGTGGAGCCTGAAGATGTGTCTGAATTGCTGCAATCTCATGATAAAATTTGAACGAATAAGGAGTTGCTTCTTATGGATGAGCAAATAAAGTGGTTTCTTGAGATAGAACCTACTCCTGGTGAAGATGCTGTGAACATTATGGAAATGACAACAAAGGATTTGGAATATTACATCAATTCAGTTGATAAAGTAGTGGCAGGGTTTGAGAAAATAGATTGCAATTTTGAAGACGTTCTACTGTGGGTAAAATACTATCAAGCAGCATCACATACTATAGAGACACTTTCTGTAAAAAGAAGAGTCAATGATGTGGCAAACTTTATTGTGTTTT